GCAAAGCGGTCGCGGCGGCTTGGGGCAGAGGATGAGGACGAGGGGGAGGAGGATCGGTATCGGCGTCGCAACGAAGACGAGGATGAAGATGAGGATGAGTTTGATGAGGATAGCCGAAACGGTCGTCGCCGAAGGGAAAGGCTCGAACGCGAGAAGGAACAGGACCATGAACACGACGATCGAGCCAACAGCAGCTTCAGTGGTGGTCGTGGCTTCAACGCACACCGCGGTGGTCGTGGCGGCGGCGGTGGAACACCACACTTTTCCCGCTTTGGACCAGGCCCGGGCCGCAGCCCAGCCTTGGGCCCCGGTCCCGGTCGCCCCTTCACCGCTCCCAATCGCATGGGTCCTCCCTTCTCGGCCGGTCGGGGTCGTCCCTTGAGCGCAGGCTTTATGCCACCCATGCGCCCTCCAATGGGCCCAATGCCCGGTCCCCCCATGATGGGACCCGGCGCTCCTTCCCCGCGTGGCATACTACAGCCCAAGGCCTCGGTCTTTTTCCTCAAACCCATCACGGCCACCGAAGATGGCGGTTGGCACTTGCGCGTCTCCTGGCGGGATCGCCTCTTCTGGCATCACCCAGAGCGGCTCGAGCAACAATGGCGCACACCCCCAGAAGTCAAACCCGCAATCTGGCGCGAATGCCACGAAAAGGACGGCGCCCTCACATACTGTCACATGCCCTCAAGTCGTCGCTACGGTCAGCCCTTCCTCTCGGCTCTCGCCCCCCCGCCCCCCCCACAAGATCCATGCACATCAATCTCCTTTCCTCCTCTGCAGAGAGACTCACATGTCATCTCACTCAACCCTGCCATTCTAGTATCACTCCCCGAGGTCCCCCCACAAGATGATCGCGATGCACCTTTTGATTGGATCCGGGAACAAGGCGAAGACAACATCGTGTCTTGGTACATTTTCCCCCTCCTGAACGCCCCTCCGCCCCCCCTCCCTACTTTTTTTCCTGGCTTGGCTCTTACGTAGCATGATCCACCTTGTCCCATGCGGCAGGTTCAACCCCCGTCTTGGCCTCGTGTCGGCGGAAATGCCCGAAATTGTCAAACACGCGCCCCCCCACATGAGCTGCGAGTGGAAGCTCATGCAGGACAGCAAAGGCGAGCTCTACGTTCACCACTACACCCGCGAAGCCGTTCGCCGCGTGCCCAACGCCGAACTGCTTCAGAGCCGGTGAGTGGTCAAAACATCCTGCTCCGTTCTCACAGTACCCACCAGCTCACAGCTCACCCGTTTTCCTGTCCGGCCAGACAACCGGCCTTGCCCAAGCAGGAATTCAGTTTCATGGAGTCCAATGATGCTGCTGCCGGCAAGATTGTGGTCGACTTGGACGCCACCACCATGAAGCAAAATTTGGGCAATGTGAGATACTATGCCGTCCCAATCCTGCGCGTACCACCCCAGCCCACCGTGTCACTTCGTCCCATGACCGTGCTCCACCCTCCCGTTGCTCTTCGCGACAAAAGCAACGCTTACACTCACATCAAACTTACCCCTCCTACCATTAACGACACCCTTCATAGACCAAATTTAGCCGCGCATTGTATGTGCGATTGCATGCCCTGCGCCAAGTCGTGGTAAGTTTGCGCACCCCGCAAAGCAAACACCAAGCTAGGTGTTCGGCACCAACTTCCGCCTCCTCTCTCCCCGCCCCCGCCCTTCATGCTTCGGTCACGTCTTGCTTGATTGCGGCGCTTATTTCATTTCAATCACTATTGGTGCTCATCTTACACGCTGGCAGAGCAAACCCACGGCCGATGGTGGAATGGTTTTGCTCCGCCAGTCCAACGGCAAGCCCATCCGGCGCCTCAATGCCCAGGAGGCTCAGGACTATGAACGCAATCTTCATGCCCGACAAGTCTTCATCAACGGCGACCCTATTCTGCATGGCGGCCCCTTTACACCGGCCCACCGCAGTCCCATTGTTGGTCGAGATGGAGGCATGGGTCCACGGCAGGTGTATCGTCGCCGTCAACGCGAGGCCAAAACCATCGAGTTCTGGTATCTTCGTTCATGGCTCATGTATGACATTGAGTTTTTGACCGAGTTTGCCCGCGAAGGGGACATTGTGGTCATGGACCTACCCACCCGGATACATCACCTCCACTTTTTGAGCCAAGTCGCCTTTCCCCAGCTGCGTTTCCGCATCTTCAGTGACCAGGACCTCCAGATGGCCCATGCCAGCAACGTCGAAGTGGTTCGAAAAGAGCTCTCCGTTGGTGACGCCGAGCGCTTGGCTGAGTTTAACAACCACCTCTACATTTCCCACTACACGGTATCAACAATTGTCCACCGCTTCGCCCTCGTCCACTGCAACACCTGCTTTTGTTCTCGTCGAGACATCTTTGGGCGTACTGCTGCATTCCTCTCCAAGGGCCCCTGCTTTGCCCAAAGTGACTTTGCACACTTGACCTCAATACGCCGATCCACATCTGAATAGGTTGCTGTGGGTGAGCCCCATGAGCGCACGCCACCCCAGCTGGCACACACTTGGGAGGTGGTGCGCGCCCTTCGCCCACGCGCAGCATCCGTTCCCATCGCTCTGCCCTGGCCCGACAAGCGTGAAGCGGACGGAGGAAACTCCCTGTTTTTGGATGGCGATTTGCGCTTTCCCGTTTGGGGCGCACAGACCGGGACTGAGGGTCAACTTTACGTGACAGACATGGTCAGACATACTGCCGTGGTCTGGTGCCTCTTGCCTCAAATCTTCCAACCTTAGCTCACACGGCATTCGTTCTTTGCCCTCCTGCCTCCCGTAGGACTCGGAGCGCTTCTGGAATCGTCGCGAGTACGAGGAGGTGTTTTTCTACTTTAACAACGTCACTCGTCCCACTCTCTTCGAGCACATCAACCAGGTGCGCTGGGAATTTTCATTGATCGTGACGGCTCAACATTGGCAGTCACGGTCTGTAGCCGATTGTGATGGCCACATATCTTTGAAACTCATGCATCGGGATGTCAAATGTCCACAGGCAGAAGGCACGGACCACTGTTATGATTGCGCCGCCGAGACGTTCATCCTCCAGCAATGGCTTCAGGCGAACAACGTTGTAGAGCCGGTACGTCCTCAAATGATATATCTTTTTGATGCCTTGACATGGGCTCTGGCTAAGGCATGACTCTTTTCTCTCCCGGCGTGTGCAGGATGATTTGGTGCACGAGGTGACTCGTTATACAGAGGTGCTGCACGCACACACCTCGCTCTTGGGTCGCACATTGGCAAATTGGGAATCCTTCGTCAAACAGCACACACGGTAGCCCCCAAACACCCGAAGCAAATTGGCGCACTTTTGACAAGGCTCGGCAGTGGAATTCAAGTCAATTGAACAGCTACAGAATGAAATGACGCTGGCGGACCAACTCGTCCTCTTAGATAGCTCAGCCACATGAGAGTGTCCCCACACCTATCAAGTCTTGTTCACAAAAAATTGGTCGTTGGGGTGGTCGTTGGAATATCTTTTGAGTGTCTACCAAGCCGTGTCAAAACGCTGCAGCACGCGGTCCTGTGATTTGAGATCCTTTTGAACCTTGTGCCGCATGTAGAAAATCGGGCAATCGCGGCTACGTTGGGAATAAAAGTCACGTGCCAGAAGCAAGATGACGACAGGTTAGAAAGAAAAAATCCCAAAGGACAAGTTCGTTTTTGGGCCAATACAAAAACAAAAAAAAAAAAAAGTAGAGGCACTGTTGCCCACCTGGTGCAGAGAACGTCTTGATGCAATGACCCTTGGCAGCGCTGGCATTGTGACCATAGCCGCGCAAATCGTTCTTCCAAGGCTGCCAAACGTTCTTGCTGCATCCCGCAAGTCCATGTGAGATTCAGTCGCACACGTGAGATCAAGTTGCACATCGTCAAAAACCGAATGGAATGTAAAGCAATAAGAGCACATTGACAAGGGGACTGTCCCACCTCGCGTTGATAATGAACAGCCTCGTCCCGCTTGCATCGCGCGCACAAAGCACCTGTAAAGCACAAGAGACGACACGACCATGAGAATTGCAGAAAAATAGAGAGAGAGAGAGAGAGAGAGAGAGAGAGAGAGAGAGAGAGAGAGAGAGAGAGAGAGAGAGAGAGAGAGAGAGAGAGAGAGAGAGAGAGAGAGAACATACCGCTGTCGTTGAGAAGGGCACGGCAGCCGAGACAGGTTTCACGTTTTTTAGTAAACTTGAAGAGCCCTTCCGAGGAGTTGGAGTTGGAGCGCTTGACCACAACGCGGGTATGATCCCCTGATAAAAGGGTCTTGGCCTTGTCACCCATGATGGGTTCAAAGATGCTCATCAGAGGCTTTGCCAGTTGATTGTGCAGATAGTATTGTGCATCCAGCTGTACATTGTTCTCCAGCACATAAATCGGGTCTTCCGACTTTTCAAAAGCGGGTGCGTTTTTGCGGGCCTGGATGATGACATAAGCCACACGATCACCAAGGGTTGGTGCAGAGCCAGCATCACGCTTGCGCATCCGCTCCGCCAGCTCGACATGAGCTTGTTTGCCATCATAGTCTTCAGCCGCACGGCTCAGTGCCTGCAGTCCGCCAGAATCAAACCCAAACGCATTAGAAATCAGATGTTCGCTTGACACCATGCCAAAGAGCGCCAAGGCTCTTGGGTTTGGGGTGGGCAAGCTAGACGTGCCTTGGTAATGACCAGCTGACTGATGTCAACTTGGTTGCAAAGAAGGTCCGAGATCACCTTTTTGGCGTACTCGACGGCACCTTCGACATCGCGCTCGATGAGGAGCTTGTGAAGACAGGTGTTGATCAGGGAGACCACCAGTGGGCAGTTATCACGGCGAACAGTCACAATGCCCTTGGAATCCATCTTGTCCCACTTTTCCGGACGCGTCCAGTAGAGCCCGGCATAGCTGACCACATGCAAAAATAGATGCAGCGCAGGTGCGACTCAGTCACACTTGATGCTCACTGCACAAAGCCGGGGAGGTGGGGGGGGGGGGGGGGGGGGGGGG